ACAATCACACTAAAAACCCGTATTCATGAGTATGGGCTTTGAAATAAGCTCACTTAAAACGCGCACCCATAATTACGGTGATTGAAACTGCAGCGCGTATGACGCTTGGATTCAATGACATCGTCATCATATTCGAGTAACTTCATACCTCCGGCTCTCGCACAAACTCAATATCAGATTTGGAAAGGCAAAAGTACTACGTCTTGAATGCCATGCGCTTCGTTAACAGTCTTAACCTAGCAGATTAGGTAACGAGACATGGTATGCTCGAATTTTTTCTCTTTACCTCGTGCGTGATGTGCCTGATGTCCAGAGGCCAGCAGAGCCGATGTCCGGTGCATTACAATGCGGCCATTGTGTCCAAACATGTTATTTGGCCAGCGGCACAGGAAGTGTTGGGTCAAACCGTATCAGTAAACTGCGAAGAAGCATATCAAAAAGATCATCAGGGAGATCAGTGAGTCAGAGTTCAGAGTTAGAGTCAGTCAGATTCAGAGATCAGAGATCAGTCCAGGCATTGACTCAAGCCAAGTACAACGCTATTTTCAGTCAGTACACAAAAACAAACAACGGTCATTGCGAAAAAGCTACTTTAAGTCATGAAAGCTATGTTATAAGAACAAGTTTATGTGCATCATGCAAATAAAGTGTTAGGAGAACCTGAGGATGCTTCGGCGCTCTTCAGGACAAAGCTTTAGTTGATCATGAAATCGCGGCCACCCCGATCGACCGGCGAAAGATAACAGACACTGTAATCCACTGGACCAAGGTACAAACAAGACGAAACGTGTTCGTCTCATGTAGCATCAATATTGCCAAACTTTTCATCCCCTCCGTGCCTGTTTGCACTACATCCACAGCAACTTTACCAATAATATCCCCTCCCTGCTTCTCTTATTTCCTGCCTTCAACTCTCGCTCACTCCTCTCTGTGTACTCAGCTTTTCCCTGGCTCTCACTTTGACGTTCCCTCTCCCGTCTCCCCCTGGATCCTTCCGCCGGCGCCCTCGTCCTCGTCCGCTTGTATTCAGCCGCGTGAACCGACGATAATGCGCTCATATCGTTATTAATGGCCACCTGATAGTGACACATTGCGCCCGGTCGTCGGCATATTGCATAATCGTCGGCCGCGACTCGTGAGTCCGCGCCACGGCGCCGACGACCCTCGACGCCGCGCGGCCGCGGGAGGCGCCACCGTCAGGGCAGTCAGACGGCCTGGGGGCGGCTGGGGGCCGCACTGATCCGACACGCTCCAGCGTGTAGGTGGACCAGACCGGGGCGCCGGACGACGGTGGTGGCGCGGGGGCTGCGTCGCGGCCAGTCAGGAGGTCGGCCGGTCGCGAATCACAGAGCTGCGCAGGCCCGTGTCGTCTGACGTGGCTATCAGACGGCCAGGTGGTGATCTCGACAGTTCAGCGCCGGGGCTGTCACTTCCACTGATTTTGGTGCTGATTGGCACTAGCTGAGCTGTGTAGTTCAGACGTTTGGTTTCATATATATATATATATATATATATATATATATATATATATATATATATATATACACATCCCCTCCGGAATGCGCACGAATGACATTTATTCCTATTTATATACACATTATATATATATATATATATATATATATATATATATATATATATATATATATATATGTGCGTGTGTGTGTGTGTGTCTTTAAGTTATTTAGTCATGTCTATATCATATCATCTCATGTCACATTATATGCACGTCTCTTCGTTTCGTGGTCCCCCCAGTATGCAATACTTGTAGAAGCCTAAAGCGCAGCATGCTGCTTCCAGCCTTGCCGATCTACAGCCTGAAAATGGTGTCGTCACGTGAAAAGGCCGTCGCACCCGCCATCGATACCGGCAGACCGAGCCCCAAACAGTGCCTGTGCGCACGAATGGCACCGTCCCATTCACTAACCACCTGCTCTGGGAATTCTGCCTTTTGGGTAAGGGAGTGATTCGGGCAATTTGGCTCAATCAGCGCATGCTGATAGTAGCAATTCCCCGCGATCTCGGGAAACCATAATGCTGGGCGTGTTCCCGTCCGGTAGCGGGATTCTATCACATAAAAATTAGTTATTTGTCGTAAACAAAGAGTGTCATGCATTGTAGTCCCTCCTTATTCACGCGTGCCTTTCGCAGCTGCCCCGTGCTGAATTAATGAAACTCACCATGACTTTCAAAACTCTCCCTCAGTTCGGAAAATGAAGGGAAAATAAGCAGCGATTCCCCCAAACGGTAACGTTTAATAGCGCATGCTTCCAAAAACACAGCCGTGATTAATCGCGCACATGGACTTGTAAAACATGAGGAACACAATAAAACCTCCTTTACTCGCGTCCTCCTTGATCGCCCCAGAACTTAGTTCTTATATCAGAACATCACAGTGAAACCATCACATCTTTCCCTGTTTTTGCCAGCCATCTAAAATCATTCAGCAAGTTAAACGAGTTCGAGATTGCAATTAAGGCGCTGATGTGTCACTAAAAGGAATGGACTTTTTCATCCACTTTTTTATTGGGAATGGTTTAATCTTAAAAGAAATCTGGAAGCAAAATGATACGGCGATTATTTTTTTCAAAATTAAGTCAGTTCAGGGAAGCCCTTCATGTCATTTTCAGCCATCGTCTTATTACACAAATCTTTTCATTTCTTGCCAACTTTTCCGAGACAGATTTCCAGCTTAACTAGTTTTAGCCAGCTCGCTCTCAAAAAGATGGTGGGATCGTCGGAGACTAGCTGACAGGGCCGGTGTTTTCTTCCAGCTTTGATCACGGTTTATTTACGAGTCAACCATGCTGAGCATTTTAAGTTGATGCGCGACAAGTTCGTTGGGGTCACATAACACAATTCTTCAGCGATTATTACCTCAAGCCACCGAGTGGAAATGTAACCGCGAGCTCCCTCCATAGAGTTGCGTAAGCCGCGATGGGATTAATTGATTCATTATGTGACGGAACACACCAATTACCCTCATTTTCGAGATCACCAAGAGAGTGAAGCTGAGATTTCCACGCCCCGGTCGGATGCTCGCTCGCCGATGGAACTTAGGCCCTCTTCCATTGAAAATACCCGTTTCCAAACTTGGCTTAACCCGAGCTTGCTCTGAAAGCTAAATGGTCATTGGGGCTTCAGTTGTCACTTTTCACATTTTTCCTGGTCAAGCGACAGATAAAGCATGCTCACACTGGACGCTTCGCTGAGTTATGAGAGGAGCATTTGTGTTATTGTTATTCTTATAAGTTAATGATTATGTATCTTATAATTTTATTTGTATTTTCAAAATTTAGTTATTTGCCCTGGACTGACCGTCATACAAATACCTGAGCGCAGCATAGCAGGGACTGCGAATTGCACACTGGTTGCTGCCGAGGATTCGAAACAAATACTTCGGTAGGAAACTGGCATTTTAAAACAAAATTGTGCACTCCTTCCCGAAATGCAGCATAAACCTATGGCTAGGCCTATAGCCAGGCAAACGTTTGCAGTCCGATAGGCACTCGGTCACTTCTCAGAATGATTTTACGCCAACGCAAGCTAGTTACTCTGCATTCATGTTATAGCCATCTACCCACAACCACAAATTTGAATCATGCCTTTAACAGAGGTCAAGTACCTGAAACATATGTAGCCGACTATGGCCGCCACAAATTTCTGTTACCTTAGAATGGAATCAGTCGGTGTTTTACGTCTGCTGATTACGACAAACTGAAAGCATTGTAACAATGCTCTTGGTCTCTGTTACCCTTCTCCAAATGAACTCCATCGCCACATATGCGTCGCGTGCATATCTCCGGGCTACACTTCAGTTTTCAATGCGAAGAGCATGTAATGTGTACACTACGAGCTGAGTATACCTGGACATGGATGGATCGATACACCTTGGCAACGCAGGAGTCAGGTATTGGAGGCTTCAGGTGCGCAGATGGACGATTGCTCCACGATGGGTCATGTCAGTGTGAACCCTCAAAGTCGTGCTACAAAATCTTATACATGAAGCCATCAGAACGCCGTGATTCGATTCACAAACGCCAGGTGTTCTCATGGTCACCTTTGCAGATGACACGCGCTTAAAACCCGATAAATGAACACAACTGTTCTCGAAAATGATATCACTTAATAAGAATACATCAGCTGGTAATTGGTACCTGTTGTCAAGTCGACGCGGATTGTAGCTCTGCTGACCAGTGCGGTTTGCAATAAAATACTACAGTTTCAGTAACATTGGAAAGCAGTCATCTTGAGCAATGAGCGGACCCACGCGGGTGGAGATAAACCGTGAAGCTCCCGGGCCCTGGTCCGCTCAAACTGTTAAGTCGCATGACATGACGTCAGAAAGTGTAGGATGCATGCGCGCCACCTCGCGCCTGGTTTTCAAAATAGAGCTTGGGAAGCTCGCCACCCTATGGCTGCAGGCGCGTCTGGCCCCCAGGCAACCGGATCAATTATTCTTTACGATGATTTCGAACACGCGTGCTTCCTTCGAAGCAGAAAATGGAAAAAAATTCTAGCATATTAGGCTCTGTGACAGGCACCACACTTAGCGCGTAGATTACTCCGAAAGTACATTTCCATAAAAGGCGCAAGCCCTGCCTTACGTAAAACTGGTGGGAATATTTTGTGTGGGCATGGAAAAGTTAGTAGGCATCAGTCACGTTTCTTCGCAACATGAAGACTCTCCGGGAATCTACAGCAATTTCTTCAGGAGTAGATACAATTGAAGGCAAATCCGCAGTGGTAGCTGCACAGACAAGTCTCCGGATCCACGACGGTTCATCTGTGATTGGTGGCAGATCGACAAGGGCATGACGCCTCGACGTCACAGTGATTGCGTCGAACTTACGGATGGCATACCTACCCTGAATTTTTACGCTGCCGATAACTGACCATCTCGTCCGTGGCCGCTCAAAGTCGATCAGCAATCGACCACCAAGAAATAGCAAATAAGGAAGTCTTCGCCCATCCAGTTCCCGACAAAAAAAGAAAACAAAAACGCTGGGAGTGATTACGATTTGTACATTCAGCACGAAGGCCATAGGTTCTGGGTTAAAACAACGTTCATGCAACATGCTGCACGTACTTGAGATCCCTGCCTGTCAAAAGAGGCTCATGAAGCTGCAATTATGCACAGGGATGGGTATATGAGACAGAGGCATAGCTACCACTACCACCAGCATAGCTTCTTGATTGACTCACAGGCCAATCAAGGGGGTAATGACTAGGGTCTAAAAACTGGGCTAACAGTACAGCGACTAAACAAGGCACATTCTTCGTGTTCATGTACACAGACACATCACACTACAACAGGCTTTTTGCAGATCACTCGCACACCAGCGCGACTTTCGCACCTCCTGTAGCACCCTGATTTCCTGTAATGTCACCGAGATAGAATCACAGGAGTCTGAGACCTAACAGTTGAAAAAGCTGAGATTTCTTCCGCGGTTAAAGAACAGGTCTTCTTTCTAGGCACAAAATACGACATGAAGACTTGAGATGAGGGTATAAAAACGGCATCCGCGTTGTCATGGGACACTATTCAAAACATGGAACTAAAATATCTCGCAATGCGTATCGACCCCCGTTCATAAGACCTCAGAAGCGGAGTGTGCGGTAGCTCAGCGTCAGAATCAGCGGGAGAACTTAACCCAAGCGAGACTGCTAACATCCGGCAGAGCAGCATAGATGGGAATGACGCACGACACCTCAGCTGAAAAGATCCACGAAGACTTGCGCAGGCCTACAACGCAGCAGGAATGACAGGAATGCAAGAGAATCGCCGCGAGGGCGGCGTGGTCCCAAGCCGAGTAGGCCGCGCCGTTCTGCGCTCGTCAGAACCAGCGCGAGTTCAGCGAGGAGGCGGAGCCAGCGCAGCTCCGCGGGCTGGCGCCGCGGGAGGCAGCCGGCCTGCCGCGGCTCTGTCGGAGAGATCAGAGGCTCGTCCGGCGCCGACGAGGCGGGGCCACAGGCGGCGCCAGCGTCGGCGGCCAGGGTGCAGCCCGCGCAGGGGGCGGCACCGGCTCACTGCGCCTCCGTCTGCAGCGTGCCGGCGCCGATGCCGTACCCGTAGCCTTTCGGACCGAAGTTCCGGCCGTAGCACGCTGAAACACCGGCGGGTGGGGGCGTGTCAGGGGTTGGGGGTTAAGGTTGGCTGCTAGAGTTCCGCCATGCGCGATCGAAAAAGACTGATCCAGGCAGGACAAAAACAGAAAATTAGAAAACACGTAGAAGGATACGAAAGATTCAGCCCAATCATGAGAGCGGCCCTTTACCCCAAACGTCGCTCAAACAGTCGTAAACGAAGTTTGAGGGCATTTCAAGAGAAAAGTAGCCCACGGCGCCCACAGCTTCACAGTGCAGTGAAGTCGCGCAGAAAGCGGCGGCAGGAACTGCACGCGATTTAGCACAATCTCCTGGCATTTGGGAGACGGTCTGGCCGCCCGAACTTCAGCAGTTCAGGCGACCAGACCGGATGCTCCTTGAGGCTCACCATCAAATGCAAGCGCATAACCATAACACTGATGGTTACACATACACATAAAACCACATGACCAGAGCATATCGAACCACATAAACATAGCGGTGATAATAACAGCCATGGCTAGTGGTATGCAGCAGAAGGCGGTGCCTGTCTCGTACGTCTGCAGTAGATCTGTCCCAAGTGCTCGGTCAGCGTGGTGCTCTCCAGTCGCTTGCTGCACCCGCTGCAGCAGAAGCACGTCTTGTGGTAGATGCCGCCGCCCCCCAGCATCTTCTCGGCGATGTACACGGGCTTCCCTGGCGACAGGTCGGGAGGAGACGGAGTCAAGACTCAGAGTAGGACAACGGGACGCTGAACACGTGGAACTTTCACTTTTACAATAAAGATAACTACCCAATGAGTTACACCAAGTGAGGCACCTACCCAATGACATTTACAACATATCAAACCTGGGCTTCAGCTAGGGGCGCAGCCGGTCTTGGTGGGGGAGGAGGAAGGGGGGGGGGGGGCATCCTGACGAAGGGACCCTGGCGAGAAGCTTATCTACATAAATCGCCGGATTTGGCCTACCTCGTCTCTAGGGGCTCGATTTTCTTCGCCTTTGCCCCGTCATGCCGACGGGAATAAGCGTCGAGAGCCCGATGGACTGAACTCAAGAAGGTCCCTTTTTCTCATGGCGTCTAGTGCTTGGTTTTCATGGTGCCACGGTGCCTCGCGAGTAGGACAATAGGTGGCACCTGACCTTTCCCGGCCAGGGACTGAAGGGCCCTTCCGTTCCAGCTCGGTGTACTTCCTGGCTAACAATCTGGAGACACGGAGACCGGGTCCCCTGCTCGCTTTGGATGTCCCCATAACGTTGCATCATACATCTACCTCCTCCCAGACAGAGATCCAGTAATTGACACAGGGACCTCAGTTCGGCCTATCAAACCCTGACGGAAACGGGACGGAGGGCACCCAGTTCGGCACTGGGATCCCCGACTGATACAGAACCCTTCCAATGTCCCATGGTGAGCCCTATTGTTGTTTCCCCCGTATCCTCTTTCGGAACCCAATGGACGGGGGGGGGGGGGGGGGGAATGCCTATACTGTGTCTGCGCCCTGGTTTCAAAGCGCAAGTGCATAAACGTTTAGCTTTCGCAGCTGCACCCCAATTTGCGTAACACCAACAAGCCGGCAGCCTTACCCCACCAAAAGTCGCTACAGATCACCCGCGCGGGCTCACTCCACACCTATCACAAATCACCGACGAATCGCCGAACGCCGCTCAGTGAACACAGCGCGCTCCAAGTGCACAGAGGGTCACCGGTCACTGTCAGCTCAATCCCTCAGAGACAGGTCACAGGTCCCAGGTCAGGGCCGCCGGCGCCAGGCAGGCCAGCGTCGCTCACCGCAGCGGCTGCAGGAGTCGGAGCCGCCGAAGCGCGGCTTGAAGCCGGCGCCGGCCGACCGCGCCGCCAGCCGCGGCGCCACGTACGCCTGCGCCAGGTGCGACACGTTCGAGGTGGGCGGCCCGTTCTGCGGAGGGCGCCGCCGGTCAGCGCGCAGTGTCGGCACAGCTCGGCGGGGCGGGAGCCGACGCCGGGGCAGGCGAGTGCAGCACGCTCCTCGACATCACGGAATCGTAGGCAAATGTACCGACGGTGGGCTTGGCCGCGTCCCTACCGCAAGAACTCACCTTATACTGGCTGCCGTCGTCCATGCTGAGGACGCCGGCCGATCCGCCACCGAAGCCGTAGCCCTTGGGGCCGAAGTTGCGACCGTAGCAGGTCTTGCAGAACAGCTCGTCCTCGCGCTGCGTCACGTTCGTCGAGTCCATCAGCTTGTTGCAGGATGCTGCCAACACGCGAGTTGGTGATGGCGCATGCTATCAGTGTCTTAACTCGATAGGACACACTGCTCCGTTGCAAGTGTTATCATCCTTGCCTTCTATATGGATGCAAGAACAGCATTTGGATTCCCTTTTCGCACATGTTCAGCTCGTGCGTCTGTGTGCATGGTAAGTCCCGCACCAGATTCACAAGTAAAACATACGGGCACCAACGTTGGCCTCATGAAATCTGACAGGTACGATCATGCCACAACTGATAACTGAAGTGCAAAGATTCATCACAGCTACACACTGCATAGCTGCAGTTAAAACACATCGCTGTCCAGCAGCTGTAACCCAGCAGCACCATCCGCGTGAAGAGGAATCATCAGTGCACAGTAACCGATGAGCCGGTCAACGCTACAGCTGATGCCAGCGTGAGGCACCTGTGCTTACCGCATTTAAAACACATTTTGTGCCACGACTTTCCCAGCGCCTTCTTTTCCTCCGCGAAGAAAACATTCTTCTCGCAACGAGGGCAAACGCCTGGCATTTTGAGACGATTTCTGAAAATAAGAGGCACATCCGTCGTATCTTTGACCGACAAGCCACCGAACAGTGGGTTCACGGAAAACGAGACGTACGGAACACTTTACCACACCTTACCGTACAGCATGTGGACGATGTGAATGTTCTCGTCTCTCGTTTTTTCTCATTCAGCGACGGCCTCCATACTTCATGCGTGGGAGCCGTTCACCAGTTATGTGAAAGATGGCCCACAGGCTGTGTTCCGGCTCCTCTCATGAAAACTGATTTAGGTGTAGCTTAAATCATGCACGACATGACGGTGAAAGTACAATAGCACCAAATGCTTGACCGCAAGCGGCTTCATGTGGTTAGTCATGTCCAAAACTCGGAAACTGTTGGCGAAAAGTGCCGTCTGCTGAACCCACCCCTTATTGTTTGAACGTGAGACAGACCAATCAGGACAGATGGCCATAACCCGCCCGCTGACATTGTTCACTTAATGCTTGTTCGTTCCAAAATTAATCAGAAGTGACAATTCCCACGCCGCCAGTTCTCGAGGTCATTCATTACGGAACACCAGAGTGTTTCCGATGTCGCTGCGAGCCACCTGTAGCTCGTACGAAGGCAAACAATCCGCATCCCTGCTAGGTCAACAATCCGTGCGCTCCCTTCAAAATGACGACCACGAATCAAAATGAATGACAAAATGAGCCCACTTTCCATCGGGTGGACCATGGAACCATCCTCCTCTCCGCAGCAGAATAAACCGGGCAATATTACTTGTGATACAACCCATGCATTCAAAAAATAATAATGTGCGATCCATATCTACAGCTAATTGAAGAAGGCGCCGATTCCTCAGGGATGGAACGCAGGCAAACCGGCCTTCGCCGTTTCGCGGACACGGAGTATGAAGCCGCTGCTCCCCTGCCGTCATCGACACCCGGCCCAGTACCCCGACCCGTGAGAAAAGCGGCCGCGTGACTTCATCGCCGGCTGGGTTCACACGAACGTCCGGTGGCAGTCGAGTCGGCGGCCAGATGGTTCGCACGTCTTCCCTCCGCGCAGTGGGGGACGTGGCACGGGTAGCGGGTAGCACAGCGGCGGGTAGCGGGTAGCGCTGAGCGCGAGTGGCGGGGTAACACCGAGGCCGGCGCCACGGCGTCAGCCGACGTGGCGTTGACGTGTGGCCCGGCTGACGGCACGAGAGACGAATACGTTTGACGTCAGTGAGGGAGACAGCTCGTGCTTGACTAAGTGGCATGGTTTCCAAAGTATGGGACGTTCTTACGCAGAGATGAGACACGCTTCGCAAGCCAGTCTCCAATTTCTCGACCCAATGCAGCAGCGAGAGTGGAAGAGAGGATTGGCGCCAATCAGCGCGCCGGACCTTCTCTACTACTCACCACGTGCACTAACTGGCCAGCCATCATTGGCAAGTCAGACTCGGCACGCGGGGCCAGTCTTACCGCAGTTCTTAGCGCTCCCTCCTAACGCGATGGGTCGGGAAACAACCTTCCGTCGCCGGTTTGACACTACTCAGTCGGGTTGTGATCCTGCTCTGTCTCTAAACCATGTTGCACTGGGCCTTTTTAACGGGAGAAAAATGCACCCTTTGAATTACAAAATTGTACCATGTGACATTCCAACACCCAAGACGCTTAATCCGTACCGACACAAAATGTCATTTTTCTGGCCCAACCACTCCTTTTCCCATGACCACCTCCCATACAACATTTTCTGTCAAATGCCCACCACACCGCTAACTGAAGCCACACGCCCCGCAATTCCCACCCGCCTCCACGAGCAGCCCGGGGCCGATCACGAGGAAAACATTGAGCCAGTCAGAGTCCCGGTGTGACTCTGCTGATCACGGGCTGGCGCCAGGTGAGCTGGCGCCAGGATCACGAGCCTGGCGCCAGGATCACGAGCTGGCGCCAGGTGGGCTTCCATCACCTGTTTTGTGGATCACTTTTTGAGCATCGGACCCCGGGCTCCGAACATCCTCTGCAGCCCCGACCTTGGCATGTGAAGGCCTTGCTGTGGGCATCCTTTTAATCAGTTTCATGCTTGCGTGTGCCTTAACGACACTTAAGCAATGAACATGAGCTGCGCCAGGCGCACTATGCAACAATAATGGCGGCTCTGGGACAGACGGAAATTCTCATAACTGTCTACATCCTGAACCTGACGAGCGGGGAAAGTGTCACGAACTGCCAGAAACCATAAGTGGCCGGGCCTGCCATTTCATAATCCGCCACCTTTTCCAGCCAAAATGCAACATACCACGCCCAGAAAAGCCAGCAGAGACAAAGAGAAAGGTGGTCGGTCGGGTGAGGTGGGCGAGTGCCCTATCCACGAACAAAACATCGAAAGCCATTGCACAACGGGTGCAAAAACGGCGAAAGCAGCGCAGCTAATAAGACCGCCTGATTGTCCACGAAGGACGCGAAACAGAGTCGGCCATGACGTCCCCATTCATAACTGGGACAAACTCCCGCCGCGAGACAAAGGACCGTTGACCGGCTGCAGCCGCGCTGCTGGGATGTGCAGCGCGTTGCGACTGATTCCGTCCATGAACAAATGCAGCGTAGCGAAAAAGGTTCTCCAGGGACCGTTTCACAGTCGGATACGGGGATATGTAATAGACGCGAAGGAGATGGGGTTCTCCGCGCCGCAGCGTAGTATTCCGTCGCCAGCACCAGCGGGCCACCCTCACGCTGGAGCCGGACGGTGGGCGGTCCAGGCAGCGCTGGGGGGCCGCTCCCTACACCAGCCGTCTGGTGCGCGCCGGGCTAAACGCGCCGGCGTCGGCGCTGGTGCCGCACGCGGCGCGCGCGGCGGCCCGCTCACGCCCGGCCGGCCTAGGTGTGTTGACGAGCGGCGAGCAGAGCGCCGCCGGCCCAGCGCGGGCACGGACAAAGAGCCGACGCCCGGCGCCCGCCGAGCAAATACACAGCGGCCGCGTGTTGAGCAAACGCTGCATGAAGGCGGCGCCTGTTGCCGCGGCGCCGATAAACTGGGGACCGGCGCCGCCCATAAACGGGGGACAGGCGCCGCCGATAAACTGGGGACCGGCGGCGCCGGTAAACTGCGGACCGACGGCGCCGCTAAGCTGAGGACCAGCGGCACCCATAAACTGGGGACCAGCGGCACCCATAAACTGGGGACCGGTGGCGCCGGTAAACTGCGGACCGACGGCACCCATAAACTGGGGACAGGCAGCGCCAATAAGCGAGAGACTAGCGACGCCGATCAGCTGGTGACGGGCGGCGCCGATAACCTGGGGACCGGCGCCGCCGATAACCTGGGGACCGGCGCCGCCGATAACCTGGGGACCGGCGCCGCCGATAACCTGGGGACCGGCGACGCCGATCAGCTGGTGACGGGCGGCGCCGATAACCTGGGGACCGGCGCCGCCGGTAAACAAGGGACCTACGGCGCAGGGCGCCTGCTGTCGGGCCCAGTTCGTTGTGATGGCCGGCACCGGCGCTGCTGGCCGGGTGTGAGATCGCCGAGAGTCCGGAGCCCACGCATGGCGATCTGTTAACGGGGACAGAGATTGTGGCCATTGGAAACCTGGCATCCCTGCCGGGCAAGACGGGGACCTGATCAAGAGGCTTCCGCGTCAGATTTGACAAGCAATCACAACGCAGCACAGCCAAGTAGCCCAGTGGCGAGGACGACATACATTGACTGCACGCTAGATCATAGGCAGGCGTCAACGTGCATGGGGTGATTTGTTTGAGAGGACGCAATCAAAACTACTAACCGTGCGACCTGACGCGGCACGACCTATTTCCCACCCTTTTCAACTTCGACCTCGTGTGGCCTCGGCCGGGCCAGACACGAAGGCACCGGCGTCGAATGCAGGGAAGTACGTCGTTCTGTTTTCACCCGTCGAACCATGCTGAAATCAGCCGCCGCGGCCCGGTTTGGTTCACTGGGCGCTTGTAGTCCTCGCGTCCAGTACGAAAGTCATTACGCGGCTCCTTCCGACGAGGACGGCGCGGTGTGCAATGAAATGAAGTGGAACGCCGGCCCACTCCAGACCCGTTGCTCTAACGGAGCACACCCACGCCGGCCGTGCGAGCGGCGCCGCGCCACCGGAAGTCCTGCGCGCCGGTGCACGGGGCCGCTGCAGCGGCGCGTCGCTCGCGTCACCCCGTCAGCGACCTCGTGCAAGCGCAGGCTGACGTCACGTGCCACACGAGACGGCAGCTGCTCCCGTCTGAGACCGGCTGCCTCAGCTGCCGCCGGTACGTTACGCCCAAGCCTCTTTGTTTGGGGTTACAGGCCTTACGACGACATGCTGAAGGCGATTGGTTGAGGGAGGTCCAAAACTCCAAGCTTGATTGGCGAAGCTTTGGCTGCCAAGTCGAGGCCAGTCGATGTCGCGTCAAGGCCAGGCGGAGCAGTGCGTCAGGGGAAGGCGCGCCCGTGGGCCGACCGTCCCGGCCCCGCACCCCCCCCCCCCCCCCCGTCAACAGAGGGTCCGCTCTGGCGCGGCCGCTCCTCATCAGCGCGCGCCGTGACCAGCGTGGCCCAGCGCGCGGCGGCGGTTCTGAGCGCGGCTGGAGAGGCCGGCCGGCCGGGGCGGCGCGCCACCGGACGGCGCCGCTGAGTGACGGGTCGGGAGGGCGGTGCCGCCGGCCGCACGCCCCCACCGACACCGGAGCACGCCCGCCCCACCGGCGGAGGGGCGGACGCGGCGCGTGCACGGTGCACGCGCTGTGACGCTGCAGCACGGAGCTAGCAGCAGCGGCGGCTCGGCGTGACCGGAGAGAAAAGCGATGAGTGACGCTGAACAGAGATACCTTTTGGAAATCGTCTTGCGGTACATTAGGATTTCAGGTTAATCCGTTCTAGGTTATGGGTCCACAAAGCTCCGAAGCATTGGTTCTCAATGTTTCTGATCAGGGTTCATGTCGACTGAAGTCATAGGGAGGGTTCTGCATAGGTGGATGAAGCTCAGGACGCCCCAAATCGGGAGTAAAGTTTCGCAACATAAGCTGGGGGGTGAGCAGGAAAGAATGGCTAGACCCAACCCCCTCCCTAAAAAAAAGAACACTGAGAACCGCTGGCTCACCATATCTTAACTTCATTCCTCCCGAAGTCTGGGGCTGGACCCCCACCATAACTGAACAGGAAACTACACCCCTGCCCTAAATGCTCTTCACATCCGGGTTCGGATCGCCATACGAAGCTATGATAAGAAATCATAATTCAGCTGTTTTTGCATGATTCGCGCGACGCTGGGCGTTTGGAAGGGTATCAAAACGGAGACAGACGTAAGTTGGGGGGGGGGGGCGGGGGGCCTCCCTTTCGTCCAAATGAACACGATCCTCCCACATGCACCCTCGTTTTTGTCGCTCACACGCCCAACCCTCAACCGGAAATCCCACACATGAAGAGGAATGGGTGTCTGCGGCTTCCGTCTTTTCGTGCCCGCATTGAAACATGCGATCCCGGCCAATACGACAGTCAGGTAAACAACCCAGGCCCCAACGTAGAGGTTCTCGACTCCCCACAAGCGGCAAAGGCAAACAGCGTTTATAATGGTCAACCTTGCAGGCGCCAGCGTCGCACCCCTTCCGCCGCGTGCAAGTCCCCTTTAAGAATCGGACCGTCCGCAGGCTGCGACAGTACGTCACGCGGCGATCAGGTCAGACGTATGGGTGTTGTCACCCTGCAGGCGCCAGCGCAGCACCTGCTTCCGGAAGGGTGCGCGCGTGCGGGCGGGCGGGCGGCCGGCGGCGGCCGGCGCGCACAGTGCAGCGCGTTCAAACCGCGCCAGCCGGCGCACCGCCGCGCCGTCGCCATGGCAACCGTGGGCGGCGCGCCGGCGCTGGCGGGCAGTTGGAGCCGTTGGAGCGATGACACGAATGGCGGAACGGTGGCGGCATGACCTCAGGGGTGACTCAGGGATGGCTACGATCGGTTCTGGTCGGAGGTGCAGCGAAGACACAAGGGCGAGGGCAGCCAGGCTGGGGCGCACACAAGGTAGATCCTCAAGGGAGATGTACTCTCAGGAGCTACGCACGCTATTGGAGGCTAGGGACAATAAAAAAACGAAACTGCTCACACGCGCCAGCCCAAACATTGTCATCCGACCGCTAACGAGAAACGTACATCTTTCGCGCTAAAGACGCCGTTCCAGCCAAACCAAAGCTGAAGCTGACAGGGCGAGCGATATGCTTCGGACCGGGCGAACAGCACGTACGGCAACATTTGTAGGCCGATGCTCACTGACCATAGCATTTGGACGTCCCTGCACATTTTTCTCACTAACGCATCGATTAAATATCAATGGGTTGCCAGACAGCAGCTTAAATAATTACATGCTGAGTGACAAATCCATGCATGCCGCAGCCTGGCTGCCTGCCGGGAGATCGAGGAGAGGGCCGCTACACCCCATTCTGACCTGAGCGCGTGTGACCCGTGGCGACGACGCTGGCAGTGCGGGGCTGTCCACGTTTGAACCCGCCTCCGCCTGCCGTCGCACTGCGGCTAGGCGCGGCAGCCGGCTGCGCCGCCGCCCCGGCCCGTGGCCACCCGCAGATGGCGCCAGAGGCTCTCAAACCAGCTCGCCGGGGCTCCCAAACCAGCGCACGATGCGTGAAGACGGCCCGGGCCGCGTCGCGAAGTTGTCGCGTCGCACGTTTCAGGCATTTCGGGAAGGTTTACGTACGGAGAAGATTCATCTTACAGGAATGCTTTACATTTGCTTGGCGTTTTGAATTCAGACAGCTGGATTCGATGCCTCCGCCACTTCCCAAAGGCGTGGGGAACGGGCGACTGCTTTTTTAAATGTTTCTTTTCATGCATCGTCAGATAGCTGTAATACTGAATTTTGCAACTCAACAATTTTGCAACTGGGAAATCATACACACTCGGACCTCCCTTTTCATACTTTTGGGGAGCGGAGACTTAACCTCCCTTTTCCCATTGCTGACTTGAGACCCCTCAATGCTCCCTGAGCCCCCACAATGGACATAAGGAAAGAGGGAGTACTGGGTCAAATCAATGCATACAAATTAAGTCAAATATTGATATAGCAGGCATCTAGACGTATAAATGTCATCATCATGCTCATTTCACACCAAATCATACCCTGTGATTACCCAACGTTTTTGTCATGCCAAGTCCTTCATGCGTTGGGCCAGTCTGTAACTGAGAAATCTCTCACATAGTCACGTCTGAATTGGGATAAAGGACAATCGTCTGATATATGCGGCAGCTTTTAAAAATACACGGTAGACCAGATAAAAGTTAACACATATCTCCCACGACAGTGGCGAGTGCATTTGTCGCACGATCGTGGCTGTGGCGGTTATTTGACGGCAGTTAATAGCCTGCAACATGATCAGCGACAGCGGTGGTCATCAGTTATACTACACCACAATTTACTAGCATCTTTTCTGTGAATTATATAATATACCATACTTCACCAAAATGCAGGCTCACATAACCTTGAACTGGCAAGTCATTTCTCCAAAGAAGAACAGTTTTGGAATCCGCGAAACATTCAAACTACAAAAAAAATGTGACCCAGAGTCGGGTTTCGGGACATCCTTCTAAGCCCAGTTCCCTGACCGATTTTAGAAAGCGACACCCATGCACTCCCTCCATGGTGGAGACCACGGACGAGCTGAAGTAAACCAGGAGATATTCACAATAAACTTCGTTAGGCTTCGAGTTGCGTTGGAGAGCGAGTCATCACTCGGCTCAGACTCTGAGTCAGAGCCGGACTTCGAGTCCCGGGATACTTTTGTGGTGTCCGTGGGAAGGGCCGCTGCGTGACTGGGCGTTCAGCGCCCAGGCTGAGTCGTCCGAATCACGGTGAGGTGGGATGGAGAGCTCCTAGAGCCCCCGCTGCGCCACGCGTGCGGCCTCGTTCACGTTACCACCGAGGCCTTCCCACTTTGAAAGAAGCACCGTTAGTGGCATTCGGGGGCATTGTGAAGAAGGAAAAACGACGTGCGGGGTTTATCAGAGTGGCCCAGAATCGCAGTCATCGAACCTTGAATGGAATGACTTCAATTTAGCCGAGAGATGTGGGACTGATACTGCAGACTGGAAAGGCCAATTGGCTCCGCTGAACTGGTTAATCCCCATGTGAACACATGCCCTCAAGGACTAGGTACAATGGAGCTCCTGTTCTCAAATAGCTAGGCTTAACAACATACAGGACGTTGATGGTTTTTTCTTATCACCGCGCTGAACAGCACCTATTTGAGAGCAGGGAACAGGGCATCATTTGACCTTCGGGATCCTGATCGGGGTCCTTATCTAGGGTATATCCGCAGCGCACCAAGAATGCGTTTTTCTTCGTGACATCACGTGAAACTTTGCCGGGTGTGTTCGCAGTGCGACTCGGCTTCCGTTTACCCCTTTGTAACTGTCATAACAATAACTGCGCATGCAGACACCACTTGCGTTTTCGGTTACTGTCAGTGCTCCCAAGAGTGCGAAATGCAAATTATGCTCCTTTCAACCATAAAACACCTATGATCACTGGTAGTTTGTCCTGGGCACGCAAGATGACCTGGTTACAGGGGTATATGTTGCGCTATTTCAGTCTCACTCAGGTCGAGTCACCGAAAAGGATTCTACGCGTCCGGTAAAGATTCTACGTGATGTCACGAAAGCGCGAAGTCTATGGGGTATGACGTCATGAGTGACACCAACGGCATATGGTCTTTGTCCGGTTCACCGCGAAAGCACCTCTAGCCTCAAAGCCTCCATTTACGTTTGCTTTCTTCGCGTACCTGCATGTATGGAGGTCCCCAGGCTGTATCTGAAACTGAGCCTGAGGTGATCTTCCGCAAAAACTTACGTAGCCTCTTCCACTTCTCTCGGCACCGATCTATCTTGACGCTGGGCACTTCTGCTCAGATATGGAAAAAAAATCCGGGTGGGATGGGCAGATGGGGACATTTTCTGCCCTTAATTCACATAACACATCTTGGGAACAATTACATGCCATGATTATTCTTCCATTTCAACGTTGTTTTTCTTGGGAACGCCAAATCCCACGAGCAGGTAGGCATCTTGGATCATTGGAGAGGCATCTGTCTTCACAGGTTAGATACCAAAATTCGACCTGGGCACAGGGTAGTCAAAATTTTGAATGCAATTCAGTGGCGCATAGTGTGCCAGAGTTTTCATGCCCCAGATTTCACCGGCTGCTTTTCAAGAGGTAAGATTTATCACACCATTTTAGGCGGAAACGAATTCGGAGGCTTCATTACTTGCTGGCGACGCATGACCACCAGGGCCGGGGCCCCTTACGTGAGTACAACTCTGCCCCTCTTTCTACGTTCGTGAGCGCGCCCTGCTAGCCTTAATGACACCACCCTACATGCGCGAACGGGCGTCTCTTTTTGAGCTTAGGGGCAGCTGGACTCACATATTTATATGTTGCAGGCCCTGTAGTTACAGATCAAAACGCACTAACAACCAATGAGCTAACAAATAAATTTTCCGAAACGTCTGAGGCAGTTGATCGACCGCGAAGTCTTCCCGGCTGCTGCAAAAGCAACCTCGTATAAAAAGGAGAGAGCTAAGTCCGACAAAAGAACCGAACTTGGGGTACTTCAGCGGAGCTGCGGGTACCTCTGTCAAACATTTCCCTTCCTTTTAGCGAAACTCTTCAGGCATACCTGGCTTCGAGCACTTTCGACCCCATTCATAGTTGAGGGTTCGTCTGAATGCGGCTGGAGCTGATTCATCATCATCATCACCATCGCCATCGCCATCGCCATCGCCATCGCCATCGCCATCGCCATCGCCGTCGCCGTCGCCGTCGCCGTCGCCGTCGCCGTCGCCATCATCATCATCCTCTTTTCTTTTTTTCTCTCTCTCATCTCCCTTCCTCCCTCTCCTTCTCCCCTCTCTCCTCCCCTCATCTCCCTCTCCCTCTCCCTCTCCCTTTTTTCCTCTCCCTCCTTCCCCTCTCTCTCCTTTCCCTCTCCCCTCTCCCTCTCCTCTCCCCTTCCTCCCTCTCCCTCTCCTTCTCCCCTCTCCCTCTCCCTCTCCTCTTCCTTTTTCTTCGTTTTCCTTCTCCTGCTTCCCTCTCCTTCTCCTCTCCCTCTCCCTTGAAGTCCCCTATCAATGTCCTCTTATTACCTTCCCTCTCCATTTCACTCTCCCTCTCCCTCTCCCTCTCCTCTCCCTCTCCCGCTCCCTCTTCCCTCTCCGGTCGCCTCTTTCTCTCTCTTTTCTTCTCTCTCTATCTCTCTCGCTCTCTCTCTGCCTCTCTCTCTCTCTCTCTCTCTCTCTCTCTCTCTCTCTCTCTCCAGTGAAACCGACGCGCTTCCGTAAAGGCATGTTGTCCCTTCACGCCAACTGCTGCCTACGGCATATTGCCACCAAGTTATCTGCCAAGGTAATTTATTTCTATAATTCTCTCCCGAAAATTCATGCGGTACTCAAACTAGCTAAAACAAAAAAATCATCTGGTTCTGACGCCTGATATGAGAGATCGATAAGACTGGCCAAGGGTGGAGACCGATGGGACTGGATGGGACCGGACGGGCCGGGACGGAACAGGGGCGGGTGGGCCCGCACGGGACAAAAACACACCAGAAGGGGCCAGGCGAGAATGGACGAGATGGGAAGGGATCGGATGGAACCGGGCGCGACCAGATGGGACCGGGTGGGCCAGATGGGGCCAGATGGGACGACACCGGACCGAACCGAACGGCTCCACAGCGGACCACGGGAGACCGCACGGGATCAACAGCATCGGACGTCAATAATAATACGCACGGAACCGGACGAAACAGGACGATATGAGGCGGGACTAGACGGAACATGATGCTATCCGACGGGGTGGGACGGGACCAGATATACTTCAAGGTGGCCTGCGGGGAAAGCTGCTACCTAAGGGGCTAAACACGACGCCAAAATAACTGTCTGAACTGCTTCGCAATGTCACCTGGCCCTCGTCGCCTGCGCAGCGGCGCGGCTGCGGCATCCCCGACGTTTTACGTTGGAGCAAGGGAAGCGGGGTACGCAAGGCGACCGCGGGACCAAGGATGGCGTCTGTTGTACGACTGCGTCAGCAACTCAGCAGTGAACCTGTGCGTGTGCGACAACACCCTAAAACACCCACATTGTGTGCATCTGTTTCGTGCATAGACCTATGGTGCTTGGTATAATCGAGAAAGGCCTGAAGTTCCTGCGTATTCTGGTTGTTTGGGAAGGGCTTTCAGTACCCATTCCAAACTGAATAAAAAACTACACCCGTGTGTTCGGCATTGTCATCTCAAAGTCCCTATGCCGGGTTTCGACCGTTAAAATACCAGGAGGTAGAGTTAAACGACGTAATAGAGCAAATGTTGATCAGATTGTCAGCACATGGCGCTTCAACTTGTGCTTTTGATAACGAGTGTAGCATCTTAAGCACTCAGTAGTGCATTGTGGACTTCCTGCCGCCTTTTTGCCGCCCTAGCATTTTTGTGCTTTGACTTTTCGATTTTCACTTATCCCTGTATACTTAAG